AGTTTGTTTGGACAACATGTATACAAAGTATATATATATATATATTGTTTTGCTGGACCTCAGGAAGACAGTTGTTCTGACAGTCTCTCCAGCTCTTGAATCTCTCCGGAGACATCTACAGAAAACACATTACACAATGCTCCTTTAGATAAACGTCTTTACTTCATGTGAGATAATTTACTACAATTATTTTAAATCATAAAAATGATGAAATCAGAGTCTCTTACTCAACCAGCTGATTTGTCCGGCATGTGAAAACGAGAGTTTCACTGAATGTTTTAGCTCAGATTCGAGGGTCTTCGTTATATTCAGCTGTGTGTGTAACATAGTTAGTCTGTTAAAAAAACTTCCTGATCGCAAAAATATATTTACATATTAGGTAAAACTTTTCAGCCAGAATTTATGACATTCATTATTGATGAGTGCGTGAACTCATTACCTTCAAGGTTTCGAACATATCAGTCACTTTCACTTTTGCTTCATTGAACATTTGATCTTTTAACTGCTTAATTGTTTCTGTTATTATTTTCTCCATCCTCTGCATGGCTCCTGTTCCTCTCTCCTGTGCAGCTTCTGTAATAACCAACATTTAATATTCATTCATCATATTTCTATAGAGAAGCGCTTAACACCTATACCAAACATGTACTGTAATACTGTGCCCTCCACTAATATTAGCCCTTGGTAAAATGAGCAAAGAAGGCTGTGAAAAATGTCTTTATTGTTTAAACTTTTGCTCAAAATATTAACAAAAAAACTTGGCTCTCACTGAAAACAATTGCAAACACAGCACAGTTTTATAAGATACTAAAAATCTTAAAACTAACAGTTGGACAATACCAAAAATAATTGAATAGTCTGTCTTTCTGTATATTTTATTGGTGTCTTACTTATGTAGCCAGGTGTCATTTTCTTTTGAATGGTTGTATGAATTGATGAGTAGATTTCCTTCTTGATCTCAACAATGTCTCTGCTGAGTGATGCCTTCACTTTGTATTCCTGTTCAGACGTGTTGATCAGATAAACAAAGAACATGCAAGAATGTTTGAACAATGTTGCAAATGTACATTCAACATGCAGGTAATAGGTTTAGGGGTTTAGACTTTTTTGGAATCAAAACATTGTCTGTGCTTTTAAAAATTATGTAGGTTTGTCATTTACAGGCAATTGTTGTTACGTGTTGTAAACTGTCTACCAGCAGGTTAATTATTAATAACCCTTTTCCCTATGACTCTCATTTGGCTGTATAGTTATTTATCTAAACTATGCCACAATGGCTTAAATCAAGAACAATTAACATTCTTTAAACAAATAACCTTTTGTGTAGTTTAAAATGTGTTATCACACAGTGCTCTGGAATACTTGATTCTGATTAGCCCGTTGCGACATTCCGAGGTATGTTATTCCCGGATAACAACTGGCTAAAACTAATAACACAGGGTACTGCGAGTTATTTTGACCAGTTCTGATTAAGCTGCTAGAAACTGTTTTTCTTCACAGAAGGTTTGAAACTATAAAGTGATAAAACATTTTAAATCATTATTTCACATTCAATTTACACGGCTATACTTGGATGACTGTACATTATTCCTTGCTTAAAGGTGGGGTAAGTGATTTTTAGAAAACTGACTCGGGCCGACTAGCAAAACAAACTTGCAGCCAATCAGCAGTAAGGGGCGTGTCTACTCATGACGTGGAGGAGAGAGCGCTCAGTGCACAGGACGGACATTAGCCGAGCGACAGAAAGATAGAGATGGTGGATAAAAAACAAAAGAGGAAAACGTCTGCGGAACAAAAGAAGGCTTAAGGCAAGAAGTAGGACCCGTGTAAATATCGGATCAGCTTTCCAGCGCTGGAGAGAACTCAAGGAGCAGAAGGCCTGTGATCGGACGCCGAGGTTGCTTTGTTTCTTCTCGATAGGCGAGTAACACCGTGTCTGCACCGCAACAGCTAAAGTCTGACCGTTGAAAATCATTTGAAATTTGTGTCAATACGTCAGAAGGGGAATGCCGTCTCTAAGCAGAGGATGGCCCACTGGTTAGTGGATGCCATCACCCTGGCTTATCAGGCACAAGCTCACTCAACTAGAAGTGTTGCATTCTCCTGGGCGCTGGCTCGTGGCGCCTCGCTGGCAGGTATCTGTAGAGCTGCGGGCTGGGCGATCCCTAACACGTTCGCTAGATTCTATAGCCTTCGTGTGGAGCCGGTATCCTCCTGTGTTCTCACCTCAAACGGGTAGAAGCACTGAGTGGCCCCGGTTCCGGGTCAGCTTGCTAAAACTGCTCCAGAGAGTCCATATAGTAGACCCTGTTGAGCTCCTCTGTCCCCTTGGCAGCCAGACGTGGCGGAGCATCCGGCGCCAGGCCCTCTCTCGATGAATCCATGAGAACTGGTAGAGGGCTGGGTTCCATATGTAGAGACCTAAGTGGATCCCATATGTGTAAAATCCACGGTATAGCCTTGAGCCCGTATTTCCCCTGCAGACTTCTGCCATTCCAAGAGGATTACAATCACCTCCAATCTTCCATATGCACCTAAGGAATGTTCATATGTGTACTTACTTCCGAAACCTCCTTCGGGAAGTTTGGAGCTTCCGTAACATTCCTGTCCCAAGTGGAACGGGTACGTTTTCCCAGTGTTATCCAGTCTTACTGAGTGGGTAGTGCCATAGCAACAGTAGATGGTCCTCTTGTGGTAAGCCCTGCCCTGCGCCAAAAAGTAGGGCTCCCACAGGACACTGGAAGGGGCGGAATTTGTGTCATTTTGGTAGGGATCCCAATTCGTCGGTCATCCGACGTGACGTAGAGAGTGACCGACTGAATGGGAACAACTCGGTTACGTATGGTAACCCTCATTCCCTGAAGGAGGGAACGGAGACGTCACATCCTGTCGCCACAGCTCCTGTACCACCGCTGAGCGGCCGAGTCACCGGCTCGGCTCCTCAGCGAAAACCTGAATATGCGCTGCATCTGCTGCCTACTTATACTCACGCTGTGATCAGCGGCAGCTGGATGCAATAATCGCATGCTGATGTGCATTGGCTCGTTTAGTTTACGCTCGAAGTGGATTGGTCTCTCTAAGCGAGATCCCAATTCGTCGGTCATCCAACGTGACATCTCCATTCCCTCCTTCAGGGAACGAGGGTTACCATACGTAACCGAGACGTTCCCTTTCAAGGGAACTTCGAACTGCGTCCTCTAGGGGTCACTATGGGGGGAACGCCTCGTCAACACGTTGGCCGGCGGCAGCCATGATGTCACTACCAGTTCGACTATAGTATAAATAGGCACCGGGAGAACACATCCTCTTATTCGTCTTCACTGACTATTTTGTTTGAAGCGTGCATTTCCGTGGTAAGAGCGATCTCTATTCATATCATTATGGCGAGCACTAGCAAAGTGTTTAGAGCAGGGGTGCCCAACCCTGCTCCTGGCGATCGACTGTCCTGCAAAGTTTAGCTCCAACTCTAATCAAACACACCTGCCTTTAATTTTTAAGTGATCCTGAAGACCTTAATTAGTTGCTTCAGGTGTGTTTGATTAGGGTTGGAGCTGAACTTTCCAGGACAGTCGATTGCCAGGAGCAGGGTTGGGCACCCCTGGTTTAGAGGATGTGTGCATCCGTGTCGTTGTTATTTGACACCTGATGACACACAAGATCTATGCATTGTTTGTTTGGGCGAGGAGCACACATGCAATGTCCTCGAGGGGGCAATCTGCATGCACTTTGAGCATTTTTCAATGAAAAAGCTCCGCTCTCGTTTGTCTCTCTTTTCGAGGAAAGATGGGAAGCCATCTGCTTCCCGCGATTCAGGACCCGCCACTACTGAGGCGCAGAGGAGAATGAGCTTGTGGGGATCGCAGGTGGATCTGGCCAATGAGTTTAAAGAGGGGCTTTTCCTCGAGAGTGAGCCACTGGAGGATGATGTTATTTCATTAACATCATCTGATCCAGGGGCCAGTGCTCTGCTGGGTTCAGCCCAGGAAGAGCAGGAAATGTCTGAGGAGAGCGAAGAAGCTGAGGCTGAGCCTTCCCAATCCTCTTGCCCTGCGTATGATGAGCTTTTGGAAGTTATGGATCGCGCCACGGCAAGGCTTGACTTGCCGTGGAAGCGGGCAAAGAAAGTGACGTCGCGAGATTGTCTCGATGAACGTTATCTTTCTGGCCATAGCCCTCCAGCTCAGGTGAGCCTTCCTTTTCTTCCTGATCTCCATACAGAGATCGAGAAGGAATCTTAGAGGCCGTTTTCCTCACGCATCCATTGATTCCAGCATACGAGTTATGCCAACATCGAGGCGATGCGCGAAAACAGCTACGAGAAGATGCCCCCTGTAGAAGAGTAGCTGGCCAGCTATCTCTCTATGGGTGAGACGTCCTCTCTTAAAACTCCCTCCTTGCCATCTAAGCCTCTTCGGGATACATCTCGCTTGAATGGCAGGGCATACTCAGCAGCAGGTCAGGCTGTCGCTTCGTTGCACACGCTGGCGGTGCTCCAGGCTTATCAGGCTGACCTGCTGAAAGACCTGGATAAAGGCAAGGGCCTTTCTCCTGATGAGGTAGCGGAGTTGCGCCGCACCACGGATCTCGCTCTCCGTGCTACTAAGCAGGCCGCCTCTGCTATGGGCAGGTCCATGGCGGCTATGGTAGTGATGGAGAGACATCTGTGGGTGAACCTGGCAGATATCGGGAAGAAAGAGAGGGGCTTTCTTCTCGATGTACTTTGTACTTGTACTAGTACTTTGCGTTCTTTCTAAAATCCTGTATGGTGAGAGCTTCGTGCCCTTTCTTGAGCTGGTTAAGCCCCAGTTCCACCTTGGGCACCACTCCACCTTGTATCCTCCGGATACCCACATTTAACAGGGTGTTGCTACTAGAGGTCTGTTGACACAGTTCCTTCAGCATATGAAGACCATGCGGTAGCCCCTGTGTGACAGGCCAAGACTTAGTATGATTCTAGGCTCTTGGTCGTATTCCTTTAAATGAATCTATTCCTGATTCCAAGCCTTGAGCTCTACCCCGGGCCCAGGAGTTCTGGCCCTAACAGGTAAGTTTTTGGGGTATGTAGCCTAGGCCTTTGGCCGTAGGGGATAATGTCACTGACAGCCGTCTTAACGTCCCAGGGGCAACTCCCATAGCTATGGTAGAGTTGGTACTTAGTGCTCACCATGGTTTTCTGGAATGCACTCCCCTCAGCATGGTGGCGTGGGTATACCGTTCAAAGTTCCCTTGAAAGGGAACGTCTCAGGTTACGTATATAACCATGGTTCCTTGAGTAGGGAACGAGACACAGCATATATAGGTTTCCTGCCTATAGGTCCTATAGGTTTCCTGCCATGCTTCGGTTGCACGCTTCAGACGAAGAAGTGGATGATGTGTTCTCCCGGCGCCTATTTATACTATAGTCGCACCGGTAGTGACGTCATGGCTGTCGCCAGCCAACATGTTGTTGGTGTTTTTTCAATGTATGTTTCAGACACAGGTCACGATGAGGCGTCCCCCCCCCCATAGCGACCCCTGGAGGACACAGTGTCTCGTTCCCTACTCAGGGAACCATGGTTACGTACGTAACCTGAGACGTTCTATAGTATTTTGTCACGCCGCGCAGCTCGCGTCCGGTGTAGACACGGTGTAACATTGGTTTTGCTTTGTTTCACAGAACTAATCGTTGCCTGGGTTGCGTACGTATGTGTGGGGCGGAGCTATCAAAATAGGGGCGAGACCCTTTTGGGGTAGGGGCATGTTTGTTTTGGTGATTTCAAATGTCAACATTGGCTACCAGAAATTGCTTACCTCACCTTTATGAATCAACCCAAACTGTTCTCTGATAGTAATGTAGTATCTTTTTTACTACAGAAGCCTTTCTTAGTGCATCTCTCCTGCTGTTTGAAACAATTCTTGCATGCTGTGTCCTATTTTATCACACAACTAGGATTGGTCTTAAATGTTTTGTTTAAAAATTCAGCTTTGGTCACTTGAATGCTTAGTATCACTGCGCATTGAAAACACAAGGAAAGCACAGACAGCCGAACTCACCTGTGTTTTGATGAAGTTCTCAATGTGTTCTTGCCATAATGATCTTTTATCTGAGTTACTCTGGATGATGCTGAACTTATCAAGATGTTCTTGCAGTGATTTCCCTGTCTTGACATTATCATCAACACTGGAACCAAGAAAAAATAGCAAAAGTAGAATTTGTCTGAAAGCAATTTAGAAGATCAGAAGATATTTTCCAACAAGACAATGCTCCTGCCCACATTGCAGTGCAAAGACAACCAAGTAGCTTGAAAACAAATCCATCAGGCTCATATTTGGGCCTGGTCAGAGTTCAGATTTGAACCCTAGAGAGTATTTGGTGTCATATTAAACTCAAACTAACTCAAACTGAGATATTTTTCAGCTACTCATAAATTTTTGAAGCCATCAACATTGAGTAGAACAACACTGACTCTTCTTTGTCTAAAGAGTTGTCTGCAGGTTTACTCACAAGACTTAAACATGTAAAGACAAAGGCTATCCCATACTAATACTAAGTTACTTTAGTTAATAAAAGCTAAATAAAAAACTTTATATTTTGCCATTTGGGCTTGTCCCAGTAAATAATTCTACTATATGACTGAACTAAATATCAGCATTGGTAAATCGCTTTGATAACATTTCTGAACTAACTAGGGGAGCCTGCATATGGGATTAAAGTGTAAAACTTACGGAAATATTAATTCAAACTCCTCATCGAGGTTGTCATACATGTGTTTGCTCAAACACGTGTTTAACTCTAAAGGTGCGTCCCAGGCTTTTGGCCAGTAATATCCTTTTCTCTCACACATTGCTCGATAAATTTTATGAAAACCTCTGTTATCTTTTGGTCGAGCCTGAAAGCAAAAACACATAAACTGCTGTTAGGAAGCCCAGTAAAATATTGAATATGCAACTTTCACAACAACTGAAACACACTTACAGATTCGATCATGTCTTGTGTGGTCTTCACACATGATCTCACTGATTCTTCAACTCCAGCTGAGAGACAGTCTTCCAGAGTCTTATAGCACGAGTCAAACTGACATTTCAACTCTTTCAGTGCCCTATGTAGGTTTATCTCCAGATCGCTGTGGACTTTGGCTTTTGTCTTATTTAAACACAAAATTATAATAGCAGTGAATTACAGAAAGAAAAGAGAACGTTTGCATTTAAAACATCAGCAATTCTCACTCATACCATATTTTCATCTGCATCCAGTTGGACACCTTGGATCAAAGACAAAACCCCTTTTGCTTCATTGACATAATCTCTGGTCAGTTTTCTGTTGATGTTCTTATTAAGATTCTTCAGAACATCCCTCAGTTTTGGAATCTCTGCAGACCATTTTAAAATTTATTCAATTAGTTCATTATTAAACCAACTTCCAAGTAATGACAAAATTATATTTTTCCTCAAGACAATACCGGTTTCTGTAGCTTCCAGAACTGGATTTTCTGGATCCAGGAATGCTTCAGAACTTACAGTAAAAACATCAGTGATGAATCTCTCTTTTGAATCCTAAATAACAATATTAATCAGTCAGTCTAATTAATTAATTATTTTCTCAAAGTTATAATAAACACATATCTAGAAACTAAAACTAATCAAACTTGTACAAACCTTCAACTTTCATGACACCAAACACAGATTCAAAAACATACACAAAACACCAGATAATATTTGTAGTTATTTGATCTTGTTTTCCAGTAAAAATAATCTGTATACGTTTACTTTCCCCTTTAGGCAAATCATGAATGTTGTTTTCTCTGGAAGCAAGACTTAATATCATTCTGCTTCTCAAGTACATGTATTTTGAAGATGCTTTTACTGGAAAACAAGGTGAGGTTTAGTATTAACATATTCTGGGGTTTAATTCTGTTTTTGTTTTTGACTGCACTAGTCCCGTTGATTTTCTTAGGTATCAAAAATTCAATTGTATATAATAAAAATCTTCTATAATAATACCCTGCTTCCAGCATTTTTTAATTTTCTTTTCACTGCTTCCTTTGCACGGCTGTTTCTATGAAGTATGCATTTTGTTTTCAGATCCTGAAAAACAATCAACACAAGAGATATTGTTAAAGCTAGATGAAGTATCTGGTGATATTTGATTCAGGATAAAACCATTCAAAAGAACATCACTTTCATGGGAGTCATCACATTACTAATGATACAAAACATAAAACATATAATGCACTTTTCAGCCTTTTCTTTGGTGAATAAAAAAAAAAGTGGTCAAGTTTTAGTAAAAATAGAATGTTCTTGATTAAAATGCATTTTTCAAGTGCAGCCAAATGTTACATCATAAGACAACAGTCAAAAGAAAGTCAAAATTTCAGACATTTAAAATAAAGTCTTAATGACATGTTGAATAGTACAGTATTCAACTGAATAATGCAGAAAAATAGAGCAAACCTTTGGTCCAGTCATTTGTTCATCAAGCTGTTCATTTCTAAAGAAAAACAAAATGAAAATGACAGAGCAAAACAAGTCATTGTTATGAATTATAATTGTCCATTAATTCAATTATTTCTTTTTAAACATGTTTACGTTAATGTTGCAAAAGATGTAATTTAATGACAAAAAAGTATTGTTCTAACGCAAGATATCCTCTTGGATCAATGTGATCGGTCTTGGTGCAGATGAAGTTGATGTGTTTGCATTCTCCTCCTCCTCCCAAGTCTTGAATGCAGTGCTCCAATATTTCCCAGGGGTCTTTGTCTGAGACTGCTCGGTTGATGTCACTTACAATCCACACAGATGAACAGTGCTTTAGTTTCTAAGTGAGAGCAAATACAAAAGCAGAGTAAAATATCAGATGATATACCTGTGGTTTTGTAATATATTTTACGTTTCACACACATTTACGAGTACTTAAAAGAGAAGTGTTTACAGATCTCCAAAAATAATTTTCAACACTTACACAATGTCAGGTTTTAATGCATTTGTTGTGGTCTGAATTTGGGCCATAACTCTTTCAATGACCTGCTTTGCTTTGTTTCTTATCTCCATATCTGTGTTCCGTGAAAAAACAAAAACAATTATAACAGGAATTGTTAACGTCTACCCCTGCCATTTACACTGTCGGAAAAAAAATTGCAAAATTTGTACCTTTAAGGTTACAATCGCTTAACACAGGGGCAAAAAAGGTACAAAGATGTCTTTTTAAGGGTATTGCCCCAAAGAGATATATATATATATATATATATATAACAGGGACATTTACCCTGGAGCAACATGGGGTTATGTGCCTAAATGGTACAATAGTGAAAAACTAAACTAAAGAACTATAAACTTAAAACATATATATACGTATATATTTATATATTTTTAAGGTGTGGATAAAATGCTTGTTATAAAAGGCACTTGTTAATAGGCAGGGGTAAACTGGTCTCCAAATCTTGAATGAACTTAATGCCATTTCCCATAGTCTGAAGATTGTATTTTTACTCTATGTATTTTTGTACAATTAGTGTCAGAATTGACTTACCTGTAGTCATCAGTGGCCGTGCAGTGATATCTGGAGACTCTTCACGTTTTCTTTTAATACCTTTAAGAGAATTCATAATAATCAACAATTTCCTGAATGACAAACTTTACTGGGAGCTAGCAAACAATTATAATAACCAGATTTCATACCATGACTAATGACTGTGGTTTGGGAGGAAAAGCCTAAAAGGAAAAAACATTTCACATTAAAGACTCTTTTATAATTTCTTTAATCATTTTTAACAATTTCTCCTGTAGATGATGTCCAGACACTAGATGCAGCATTTGAAGATTATACAAATGATGTTCAAGACTGCAAATTTGCAGAAATTTCCACCACCAAGCTAGGTTTTTTGCAATGATCTCTCCACCTTTTTGCTTCTTGCCATAGTCGCCTTGAGCTTTCTCACAGACAATATATATTAGGGTATCATTTTATCAAATGTTGCTTTAAATGGAACCACTCAATGAGGAGCTTATAAAATTTAAGACATTAGTGCTGCAATATGTTCCTGTAAAGCTGCTTTGAAACAATGTGCATTATAAAAAGCACTATATAAATAAATCTGACTTGATTCCCAATAACATTCAGACTAGAAGATCTGTACTTTGGTAGCTACAACAATTCTTTGTTCTAGTCAGAGCTCAAAAGACATTAATTTCACTCATTATTATAAAATTTTACCACCAGTGGATATTCCTGACCGCAGTGGAGAGTTTTGTCTTTCAAGACATCCAAAAGATGTAGAGGGTCTAAAAAAAAAAAAAAAAATATTACTAACAAACTTGAAAATAAGTTATAGATTATTAAATCTATAGTATGTATTTGCTGATGTTCTCAAAATTTTCAATAGATCTACTGTCCCAAATAAAGAAACCTGGTTCATTTTTGACTATTTGTGTGTGTGTGGTGTGGCCACCGTGCTAATGCTGTCCTTATCGTTATGTTCTTAACACTGCTTATGATAACATACAGGCTTATGCTCTGATTAAACGGTGGAGTATTTAAACAGGTGTAGTTGTGTACTGTCTCCAAGCAGAGGCTGGCCCATTGGATAGTGGATGCCATCGTCTTGGCATATCAAATCCAAGGCGTGCCATGCCCACTCGGGTTGAGAGCACACTCGACGAGGAGTGTTGCTTCTTCTTGGGTGTTGGCACACGGTGCCTCGCTGACAGATATATGTAGAGCTGCGGGCTGGGCAACACCAAACATGTTTGCTAGGTTTTATAGCCTTCGTGTAGAGCCAGTGTCCTCTTGTGTACTCGCCTCAAGTAGCCAGTGAACCAGAGACTGCTCGGTGTCTCACTTGTTGTGCCCTCTCCTCTACGGGCTGGACATGTGCGCTTATTCTGCTCTTTATTTCAGTTCCCCACAAGGCGAACCCTGTTAACTTCCTCCATCACCTTTGGCAGCCGGACGGGCGGAACGTCTGGCACCATCCCTACTACTTGTAAGTACGCCTTTTGGTTGACCGCTGTGCTAGGCTAGGTGTCCATATCTTGTGATTCCCACGGCGATCCCATGTGTGTATTCTTCCACGGTACGGTTCCCCTCTTGGTGAGCCTGTGTCTTTCCATTGGCAGACTACACTCTGCCATCCCTGCTGGTGTTGACTCCATCCTAACTGGGACGGAGCCACCTTAGAGACATTCCATTTGTTGTACTGCCCTTTATGCCCAGTTCACATGTGTAATCTCCACATGATACCTTCCTATGGGCAGGATGTGGATTCTGCAGCGTTCCTGGAAAGGGTTCACTTTAAGATAAATAAATGCTGTGGAAGTATTGTATTATTAGTTCAGTAACCAATGGAACCCCTGTCCTATCTTCTGCCCCAGTTGCTGCGGGTGGACCAGGTGGCTTACTAGTGGTGCTGGAAGGGGCAGCAATAGTGGTGCTTTGTTAGGGATCCCAATTTGTCGGTACGTTCCGACGTGACGTTGAACGTGACCGACTGAAAGGGAACGTTTTGGTTATGTATGTAATCACCGTTTCCTGAAGGAGGGAATGGAGACGTCACGTCCCATCGCCACAGTTGTTGTACCACCACGGGGTGCCGGGTCACTGAAAACCTGAATGTGCGTTGCACCCGCTTCCGCATTTATGCCCGCGCTGCAGGGCGGAGCACGAGATGCATATCTCGCACACCGATATGCATTGGCTCGTTTAGTTTACACTCGAAGATGATAGGGCTCTCAGGCGAGATCCCAATTCATCGGTACGTTCCAACGTGACGTCTCTGTTCCCTCCTTCAGGGAATGGGGGTTACATATGTAACCGAGACGTTATTGATGATGATGCTGTAACATCATTTTAAATTCAGTTTGGTTAGCGATTTCTTCCAGTGGTAATTTTGGTGAAAATAAGAAGTTAATCCCACACTGAAATTGGTTTAATGTATATGTGGGCCAATATATTTGATGTTCAATTTACATCAAATAAACGTCATTTCAAGTTTTTGACATCAGTAGTATTTGCATATTTGACCTGTTTTTTATGTAAATTTGATATCTTTTCAACATCAATTGCCCAATGGGCCGTGCTTGGACCCCGATGATCGCTGCTTGTGGCTATATTTTTACTTCATAATTGTATGCAATGAATGTAATGTACCTAATGAATTGTGATTATTATTACTACTATTATTAATACTATAACAAGTCTAATTACTTACGGTTCAGTCTGCTGTCTGAGTGCTTCTTCCCTCTCTTTAGCCTGTTCAAAAGTGGCTATAACAAGATATGCAAATATTTTATATTATTTAAGTATTTCTTGGTTAATAAAGTAGTCCGATTTATAAATTTGCCTCATAATAAAAAAAAATACAATATACTGTACATGACATATAGAATAATTTAAATCTTTACCATGTTGTTCATGAAATATGATGTTCAGCATCTCCCATGGATTTTCTCCTCTAGCAGGTTCAAGTCTGTTCTTTACAGCTTCTGTGCATGTCTTAGGTGCCTTGAATGGAGGCCAGTAACATTGTGTCTTGTGTTCATTCAGCCAGTTTGTTGGTATCACAGTCAGCTCACTTGATTCTTGCAGGGTAATGACTGCATACAAACTGTGTGTAACACAAAGAGCATTTCTTGATTGATTTCTTGAAACAGTGAACATTTTATTATTAAAATAGAATATTAAAATAAAAATAATTATGAAGCAAACACTGATATTTTTCTTTCAGCAAATGGGCCATAGTATAAATAATACTTGGCCATAGCTAATAGCTTTGGGTACACGTCCGCATGTTCATACACCATGTTGTATTGTAGTTTTGTTCTTGTGCATTTGTAATCTGTTTCTGTGGCCCCACCCTAATTGCTTATACCTATCAGGAACTATGTTCAAGTTTCCTCCATCGACCACCAGATGTCTCACTCTCCGGGATTCAGAAAAATCCCAAAATCCCACTTGCCTAGACTGATTGCAGCTGCACCTGCTCTACCTGGTCTAATAGTCTCTACTGCCTCTGATAGTCTACCTATTTAAGCAGGGTTTCCACAGCCATTCATTGCAAAGTCTTGTTGTCCTGGCTACAATTCTGAGTGTCCTGTTGCTATTCTGCCTGTGTTTGACCCTGCCTAGATTATTGTTTATTTGGTTATTTGTTCCCTGGATTTACGTTGTTGATTGTTTGCCGCCTGTTAATAAACATTTAGACCAGCACTTGCCTCCCACATACTTTTTATACATAATGTGATGCCTTGCATTACACAGATTTCTGAGAGCACTTTACAATAAGGTTCCATTGGTTACTGAACTAATAATACAATACTCCCACAGCATTTATTTATCTTAATGTTCATTATAACATTTACTATCATATTTTAAAATCAAAAGTAGTATCTGTTAAAATTAGTTGATTTGAACTAACAAGTACAAATGATGAACAATTGTATTTGTATTAACTAACATATTATTATTTACTACTGTAAAGTGTTACCATAATTTTTTCGAAATATTTGACTGCTGCTATCAGAGACATTTGGAAAATGGATGGTAAATGTATTACTAAGTACTACTTGGACACAGAAATCTATTTGGAATCTAAACACAGTGTACATATCTTTACTTATACATATGAATGTTGACCTTTACTTCTATAAGGTCTTTGTCTAGTAGATTTAATCTGTTATTTTTTGGCCTCCAACAAAAATTGTATTTGCATTATCACACTGTGCCTTGTGAATTATGATGCATGCTTACCCATCTTTCTGTGCTCTTACAAGTTCCTCTTTTTTCGTTGTAGCCTCCTGATAGGTGTCTGCAGTAAAATATTACAATATCTAGTTACATTATGAAACATGAAAGAGTTCTATGTATTTGTTTATTTTTAAACAGACAGTGTTACCGTATTCTGCATGTAAGAGAATGTTTAACATGTCCCATGGTTTTCCTGCTGTTGAAGGCTCAGTTCTGTCTTTCACAGCTTGCATGTACTTCTCTGCTGATCTGAATGGGGGCCAGTGACATTGTGTCTTGTCTGTGTTCAGCCAGTTTGATGCTGCCACCATCACCTCATCTGAATCTCGCAAGGTTACAACAGCATACATGCTTGACCTAGTGGAAAATGTAAACAGTTTCACACAAATGACTATGTTTAAATACATTTCCACAGTCAGTGGAGATTGAACATTGCACATGCTAATGACTAAATGCACTATCATGCAGTGCTGATATTAATTAATATAACACTAGTGAAACCTCACAGACTGCTCTATATACCGTACAGTGATTAATCACATGAATTACATTTTGAATGCAGCTCTTTTAGGCCATCGTTCTTCTGCTCCATCCATCTGTGTATCCCAGTCTTCCATCTCAGACTCACTGTCCAGGCTGGTTTCTGGTAAAGGTTCACCATTTCCTCTGGGTAATGTCACAATGTCATATTCTTCATCAGTGCTGTTTCTCACAATAGCACGTACCTGATGTAGGTCCTCTGGTAGGACGCAGACTATCACA